CGCTGAGGCAGGCCCGCGCTGAGGCAGGCCCGCGCTGAGGCAGGCCCGCGCTGAGGCAGGCCCGCGCTGCTGATGTATGCGATCGCTGCTGGTTTAGGCCTGCGCTCCCCTCAGCGCCCCTTCCCTTCAGGGCGTGACCCGGTCAGGGCCTTGCATGACTTGACCCCAAGTCCCTGTTCTTGTGAGGACATTGTTCCAAAGTGGTCTCAGTGTTCACAGGACAAGTGCCCATAGTGCTGGAATGTGTGTGTGCATGCGTGTGTGTGTCATGTGCATGTGTGTGCGTGTATCATGTGTGTGCATGTATGTGAATGTACGTGTGTATGTGCGTGTGTGTGTACGTGTGTCTTTTGTGCCAGTACTAGTTTGCACTTGATCTAGCGTTTGGTGTTCTTGCTTTGATTTTTTTACTCACAGCTGGCCTGCCAACACTTTAACCCACACTTCCTCTTGCAGCTTTTTGCATGTTAATTAGAGGTAGGAGTCTCATAGACTTTTCTGCCTGGGCTGGGCTGGCTTTCAACCTCAGATCTTTCAGTCCTTAGATCTCAGCCTCCTGAGCATCTAGGATTACAGGTATGTGCCACTAACATCCGGCATGTATGTGTTTTCTTAAAGCCCAGCTATGTCCCAAGTCACATTTGAGTCTTTTCAAGCTGTTCAATCATTACCCATGCTTAGTGATATGTTATTGGTTACCTGTTAGTAGTAGGTGGAAGGCAGACAGAAAAGATGGGAGGAAAGAAGAGAAAAAAAGATTGCATTCCAGGTCCTAGCTGAGCTTAGAGGACAAACCATGCCCCATTGCTGAGGGAAGCAACACCAGAGACAAAATAGCATGTCTTCCTCCCAAAACCAGTCCCTGCTGTGACTTGCTTTCTTTTTCTGAAAACTGGAGTTACGAGGGTATTACAGATGAGGGTCAGTAAGGGGCTGAGACACCACTGAGGTACAAGCCCTACACTTGGGAGTTGCTCCAGCCTCTCCTTCCCTGGCACAGAAGAACCTGGCATAAAATCAGAATGCTAGCGCCACCTCATTCACCACCTGGTTCAGAGCCAGAGCTGCCAGCGCCACCTCCTGGTGACACACCCCTCTGCCTCTTCTGCTCTGTCCTAATGGAGGCCTTGCTGTCACACAGCTGTCACACAGGCTCCTGAGTAGTTCCCCTGTCTCTCATCAGGCCTCCGTTGAGCCAGCCAAGAGACCCAGGACCACACCATGCCTGCCCATGATCAAATCAGTCTCAGACCCCTTAGCTAAATGAAGTCACCCGAGTCCTTCACAGCAGGCAGATATGCCTGCCATGGTGTTTCTATCTGCTCTCTGGTCAGCAAGGCGTCCTGAGCCCCAGACATCTCTGGCCAGACCCAGGTTACCCCCTGGGGTACAACCATAACAGCTTCTGAATGCCCCCTAATGGCTTTTGCTGCTCATTGGAGTGAATAAAACCCTTTATGCAGGGGCATCAGGGTGATTGACAGCGTCTGCTTAGCACTCTGCATCTCACGGGCAGGAATCTGAGCCGGACGCAGTGGTTCTAGTCAGAAACCGCCAGCCCCCACTAATGGGGCATGGCACTCTGCTGTGGTGGGACCATGGATGCTGTCAGCTGTTTCTCTCTCTGGAATGTGCACGCACACCAGGGTTTATTTTTCTACTAGTTCATGAAATGTGTGAGAATCTCTTCTCAGGGTGGGGAAGCCTGGGGTCAGCCTTTCTTCCAAATTCACTCAGCTACAGAGTTGGAAAACCGAAGGCTATCAGAGAGGGATGCTGACCTCCAGATTCAGAGAAATTAGGTCAAGATGCTAAGACCTAAGGCCTTGGTTTCTATTTGCTTTAAGAGGCTTTTCCTAGTCTAGAAGCCCAGAGAGAAGCAGAAATGGAAGTAGCTTCTCAGCCTCATGTCAAGGCCATTATGTAGCCGTGCAAATGAGAAGCATGCCCATTTTCCCTGAAGCCCCAGGGTATGCTGGACAAGGGGAAAGGGCTAGCCTGTGCCCCACTCATCCCAGGGCATAGGCCCACACAGTGGTCCTGTCTGTTCTCTAAGTTCTAGACTAGGGTTTGATTCTGCAAGCCTAGGAAGGAATGGTGGTTAGTTCCTGGGAAAGTTCTCTGAGAAAGGGGTACAAGAGAGCTCATGTATTCCTGCTAAGAGGGTGGGCTCACTGTTCTAATTCTACACAAGGAAAAAATTGAAGGAGCAGGTTCTTCTCCCACTGTGTGGTATAGCTCAGGATGCTGCCTGGGAAGTGGGAGGTGTTGAACAACTGAGGTTCTGTAAGGACAGAAGGGAAAGCACAAGGTCTCCAGACAGAAGGATTTGAAACTCAATCCTGTGTGTGACACAGCGAGCTGTGCCGGCCTGGAAACTCACTTAAACTCTTTGAGCCTCCGTTTCTTCATCTGTTAGAAAAGAATATTGCAGAGATGTGAACATGCTGGCACAGTACTGGAAATCTATCTGCATTCAAACTTTAGAAGCCCTACAAATGAAATAAGATGTCACATCCAAGATATAAGCAAAAAATAAAGCAGAACAATAAATTAAGATTAAGGAATACAGAGCGATAGCTCTTTTTCTCTTGATCATGGCTTCTTTTTTATGTGTTTCTTTTTTAAGTACCAATTTGTTTTATGCACCTGTCCTGGGAGTTGAACTCCAGAGCCAGTGCTGCCCCTGAGTTATTTTGCTCAAGGCTGGTACTCTTATCACTTGAGCTACAGTTCTTCTTCCAGCAGTTTGGGTAGTTAATGGGAGAGAAGCGTGACGCAGGTGGGGCTGGGAGCCATTGGTTCTCCACCAGAACCAGTGGTCAGCCTGCTGGTCTTGACAACCACCTAACTTCTTGAACTTCAAACTCTTAACGTTACTATGTGGGTAAGTAACCACCGTGAACTTCTTGTCTGAAGTTGGAGTAGATGATGCAAACTCCTGCGGAAGCCAACTATATGTTCAGCATTAAACCCAACTGCTTTTTTGAGTTTTGGTTTTAAGGTAACTTTTTCAGTGTGATATCTTTCATCCTTTGTGAAATGAAGTCATTGCCCTCGGTGACTTTGGGGATGGGGAGGAGTTCTGACTTTGGCCTCTTCTGTCCTCTTTTGTTTCTTAGGCAACTTCAGCAGCAGCAGGCGGAACTGGAAGTGCACCAGAGAGATGGGTTGTCATCATACGACTTATCCCAGGTGAATTTCTGGGACGTTCTTCCCCCTTTTTGGACTCCAACCCCGAGGACTGAGACTCAGTTCAGCCCCGAGCTTGGTGGAGCCTCTCCACTCAGTGGCGCTCTCCATAGTGAGAAGAGTGCCCTGGTCCCCGGTGGCTTTTCAGCACTCAGGTGGGGCCTGGACAGCACGCCCCGGGACGGCTGAGTACTGAGAGCAAAGGGCTGACTGGAATGTGAACACTGGTAGTCGTGTGCTCACAGCCAACAAAAGTGGACTCTTGACCATTTTGGTAGTCTGGCTTCCCATCCATTTCTACTGCCATTGGCCCTGCGCCCCATTCTTGTCAGATGCCCCTTCCTGCTGTGCCCTGTCTCCCCCTGTCACGCACTGTCTCTCCTGTCCTCTCATCTCCTCTGGGCTTTTATTCCAACGCACCCCCCCAGTCTCACTCCCTACTTCTGATGGTTGCCATACAGAGATGCCGCCACATGTCCGTGTGTGGCCTTGTTCCCAAATTAAACTTCTCTGATGCTTAGAGAAAGTTGACCCTTTTCCATGTCTTTCCAAGAAGGCCGTCAGCTCTGGCACCCTTTTGGTGACTCCTGGTGCATAGCCCCTGTCTGAGCCGTCTTTGGCCATCATAGAGAGGAAAACTCTACCCTGTGAGCACCATCAGGCCTGAACAACCGTGATTCCAGCTGGAGGAGCTCTGCCAGAGGCACTGTGCTGGGATGATACTGTGCTCACATGTGGCCTTCTGCTGTGTGTTAATTCGCCCACAGGTCCCTGTCCCTAATCTGCCTGCTGGTGTTCACGAGGCTGGGAAATCTGTGGAAAAGGCAGATACAATCTTCTCCCAGGAAAGAGACCCTCGGTTTGCTGAGATGTTTGCAGGCATCAGTGCATGTAAGTTTCTAGAGGGCAGAGGCTCTAAGATGGAGAGGTTGGTAGCTGCTTGCAGGCCATGCTGAGACAACCACTTGCAGTGAGAGAAGCCGGAAAGGTGAGTTTCTAGTAACTGCAGCTCAGGCCCACTGGCCTATGCCCATAATCCTGGCTACTTGGGAAGCAGAGCCTGGGGAATCGAGGTTCAAGGCCAGCCTAGGCGTAGAAGTTACTGAGACTCCCATGGCTGGATAGTGCGGTGGCCCGCCCTGTCGTCCTGGGTGATGTACGGAGTCTCTGTAGGAGGATGATAAGATCACAGCTCAGGCTGGTCTGGGTATAAAGTGAAGCCCTGCCTTGAAAATACAATGTTACTAAGGGCTGGAGGTGTGGCTCCAGAGGCAGAATGCCAGCCTGGCAAGTATGAGGCCCTGAGCTCAGTACAGTACTGCTGTAATAATAATAACTTTTTTAAAGGGGTCAGAATGGAATACTGGTGTCTCATTTTTAAAATTTAAGGGGCTAAGATAAATGAACTCAATCTGTTGTGCCGTTTAGTTTTATTAAAACAAAGAATGTTCCTTTAAGATACTGTAATCTAAAACAAATCATGCAATCAATAGATGGGTCAATAAATCAATCATGCTTTCTTAAAAGAACTACAAGTGGCCAATAAATACACAAAGAACTGCTCAACAATCTTAGCCATAAAGGAAGTATAAATCAAACTGACACTGAGATTCCACCTCAGATAGCTCCCATTCACACCCCAACAGAATGGCTGTCATCAGTAAATAAAAAGCAGCTACTAGAGCCAGGCGCCAGTGGCTCACACCTGTAATCCTAGCTACTCAGGAGGCTGAGATCTGAGGATCATGCTTTGAAGCCAACTCGGGCACAAAAGTTGGTGAGAGTCTTATCTCCAATAAACCACTCAGAAAAAGCCAGAAATGGTGTTGTGGCTCCAGTGATAGATCACTAGCCTTGAGCACAAAGAGGCTCAGGCACAGTGCCCAGGTCTTGAGTTTAAGCCCAGAATCAACAACAACAAAAACAACTACTGGAAAGATGCATGGGGTCTGGCAGGGTGTGGAAGGTAGACTCCTCAAAAAACTAAAAAAAAAAAAAAGTAGAACTACTATATGATCCTGTTATACCACTCCTAGGCACAGATCTTAAGGAGTGTAAATCCAAATAGTAGAGATACCTTCATACCCATATTTGTTGTCTCTCTATTCACAGTAGCCACAAAATGGATCAACCTAGGTGCCCGTCAGTAGATAGATAGATAGATAGATGGATAGATGGATGGATAGATAGATTGATTATTGGACAGCTATAAAGAATAGAATTATTCCATTTGTAGGAAAATGGATGGAACTGGAAGTCATCCAAATTAAAGAAAAATGTTGCATACTCTCTCATATGCAGATTCTAGACATTAATAGAAGACTGGCCTGCATGTAAAACAAGGAGTGTTCAGGATGGGAACCCATAGGAGGGTGAAGGTAAAGAGGCACTTATACATATGATTGAACATAGAGAATGAAAAATTGTTTAAAAATACAGGCCAAGAAAGTAATTAATTGAGGGTGAATTTGATCAAGGAACATTATATACATGTATGGAAATATTACAGTGAAACCTCTCTTTGGTTAGTGTACATTAATTTTAAAAGAAAAAAGACTCTACTACTTAATCTGTAACAAAGAACTATTATTTGAAATAGCAATATGAAATCAGAAAGAATATTTATAGTAACACATCACCCTACCACATTCATATCATTATTTTTAACCTAAAATAAGTCCCATCTTTTTCTACCCACACCACCCAGGACTGGTCCTGGTCAGCCAGTTTGAGCTGCACTTCGATGCCTGTCAGAGGATGTGTGCCTCTGGGCCGGGCACTGAGCTGGGGTTTCGGCATACCCCAGGTCTTGCTTTGATTCCCTTTGACCTTGAACAAGCAACATATCAGCTTCCTCCCATGGTACCACGGATGGCAGACATGTAGATGATGTTTGAGTTAGCCCTGTCCTAGCCACTTTGCTCATATTGACACACTCAGTCCACACCACAGACCTGTGGGGACGTCTTCTTTTTGGAGCAGAGAAAACATAAAGGCAGGCCTAAAGTAGCACTTGTGGTATGCACAACAGAGCGTGGGTCCAGGGCCGAGGGGCTGAGGGCCAGAGTGGGTCCTCTCCGTGTCGCCCTCTGGAGAGGCCTCCGTGCCCATGCACTGAGACCTGTTGCTGCTCCCAGCGGGCTGTAAGGATCACAGAGAACGACGTCTGAAGAAACATTTCCATTCAGTTTTCTCATCTCCCCAACTCTCAAGCGACATGAGCCACCCTAGGGAAACAACAGCCTGTTGCAGCTTTGGGTCTCGGAGGTTCTTGGAGATGAGATGCAGGCCGAGGCCTCTGGCTTGCTGCATACACTCTGTACTGGTTCTGGACAGCCTTCTGTGTCTGCAGGCAGGCGACTCACTGTGACTCCCATTTTTCCTAGCGGAGAAGAAGATGCTGAGCTCTGCCTCTGCTGCAGGCACCCAGCAGATCTACTCCCAAGGGAGCCCATTCCCCTCCGGGCACTCGGGCAAGACCTTCAGGTATGCATCAGGAACTGTGAGAAGACGCTCTGCCCCTGAGGGAAGCGGGCATCTCAGAGTTCTGTTGGGGCCCTGCAGGCATGGCACTGGTTCCTGTTCTGTGGATCCCAGAGTCAGGGCTTGGAACTGCAGGCAGGATGCTGGTTTCTTATTCTGTATTCCTGGGCAGAGCAGAGAGTTCTGGAGGGGCTGGCATTGCTCTGAGAGTCACCATGGGGTGCCACAGAAGCTTGGTGTCACTTGATTTAAGACAAAAAAAAAGATGGAAATCAGTATTTTCTGTAGTGATACCAGCTGAGGAGAAGGAGATACATTGGTCTCTAGCCAAGACCAAGGTACTGTAGGGCTGAGAGAAGCTGACAAAGTAGAAGGAAGCATCCTGTTCCCGTGGTTCACAGAGATCATGGCCAAATTTGAGAAATAAAGGAGTCCCGGCTAAAGATCACTGAGGGGGTAACTGAGGGTCTATCCACTTGGCCCGGGGCACCCTGGAGATTGCAGAAGGCTTCCCAATGCTATCTCTGGAGGCCAGGACTGGTTCTCGTTTCCTCTGGGGACACAAGAACACGAACTAGGGGGAGTGGCCAGAGGAGAGCCCCACCTCTCAGGGAAAGCGTCACATTTCACACCAGACACCTCAGCTCCTGGGGAGATCCCAGACTCCAGGCCAGAAGGACAGAGCCCCTCCTAACGCCCAGCCTCTACCAAACTTGAGCAGAACCTCCAGATGCAGGGGGGACCAAGGTTAGGTAGGCAAGTAGGTTGGCCACCCAGGAAGATGGCCCTACAGAGACTGTCCGAGAATAGGCTGCTGAAGATGCAGCTGTGGCCCAGGGGCCCTGGGTAGGCTGAGCTGGTCTGAGGAGATCTTCCCTCTTCCGGAGAACAAAGTCTTCTGTTGAGAGAGATGGATGTAGAGGGAGAAGGAGAGGCCAAGCTGTGGGGGGGCTGAGGATAGAGCCTGGATGCGGCAGAACTACTGGGCAGCACTAGAGGGCGCTGTTCTCCATTGTTTCACTGCTGGTGTGTGTGTTGGGAGGGGGGGCGGGGGTAACGGCCCTCAGGCCGCTGGGCAAGCTGGCCACCAAGGCCCAGACCAGCCATTCCCTCCGGGTAACCGCGTTTTCTTCTTTTTTAGCTCTTCAGTGGTTCACGTGCCTGGGGTGAACGATATTCAGTCCTCCTCTTCAACTGGCCAGAACATATCCCAGATCTCCCGGCAGCTAAACCAGAGCCAAGTGGCGTGGTCGGGCAGCCGCCCACCCTTTCCAGGGCAGGTACGGGTTCCCTGGGGGCAGCACGCCCACCGTGCGCGTCCCTCGCATCCCAGCTTTGCAGAGGGCTCAGTGCTCCCAGCTGGAGCCAGCCTCCCTCAGGAGCAGCCACACAGTTCAGGCCTTATGAGAGCAGGGACCCAGCATTTTCACTATGTCCGATTCCAGCACCCCTTTCTCCCTTTGGCCTTGCCCCAGGGAGGTAAAGGGAGGGGTCCGACCCTCAGCCATTCCAAAAGAAGGAGTCTTGTGTTACCTGATTGCCAGGAGTACCTATAAAAGCCCAGCCATGTGACACACCCAGCTCCCTCCTGGCTGAAATCTCCACTGGCTGAAAGGCCCTTGGTTCATAGCACTGAGGCGGCACAAGTTGAATCCAGGGGACCCAGAATTCTGTAGCCATGGAGTAGGGAGTAGCTTCACCCAGACCCACCCTGAAAATCCAGGGCAGGGATCCGGGCCTCCATATCTGGGCTGATCCCAGCCCCTGTGCAGCCAGCCAAGAGAGCCAGCGTGTTTCCCCTCAATCCAGAGCAAGCTCTTCTGTCTGCGGCACCTGCCCGAACAAGCAGCAGCGCAGGGTTGACAGTCTGGGAGTTGGTGTGGAGGTCTGATGCTAATACTTCCTTCCCTCATTTATCCCACCTGTAGCAAATCCCATCCCAGTCCAGCAAGACCCAGACATCTCCCTTTGGGATTGGAACAAGCCACGCTTACCCAGCAGACCCCTCTTCATACAGCCCTCTGTCGAGCCCTGCCACCTCCTCCCCAAGCGGGAGTGCCTACTCCAGCCTGGCCAACAGGACTCCAGGGTTCGGTAGGTGGGGAGCAAGGGAAAGAATTCCTGGGAGAGACAGAAAACAATGCTGAATGTAGGAGCTGAGCTCCCAAAGTGGCTGGCCAGGTCTGGAAGTTTCCAGGATCTTTCCTCTCTGTATCACAGGAGGAGGCCTGCGATGCTCTATGACACTGGACACTTAGAGACATCGGCTTTGTCATCTTCAAGGCACAAGGACTGTATTTCTGTTCTCTGAATGCTATTTCAACCCCTTATGGCCTTTGGCAGGAGCTTTTAGGTACCCTAATTCTAAAACCCTGTACTCTTGTTTCAAAAAACTAGAGAATATAGGGTCAACCAGTGGTGTCACTAGCCCTGGAGAGTTCTCTTACCTTTATATTTCAAGGGGACCCTATCTCTCCATTTTGTTATCGAAGCCTCAGGCCATAAAGGGTTCTGTGCAGACTCAGGAGCCCTTGCCAGCTGCTCACTCTCTGGCTTTCATGGGTCCTCAGCGCCACTCTGAGGGCCCAGCGTCCACTCCCTAGGCTGTGCTAGACATGCTACACGTTGGAGTTCTCCAAGGAGGAGTCCAGCTGCCCCAGGGCAGTAAGGCCCCAGGGCCTTTCTACTCAGAACCCACTGTGCTCAGATAGCCATGAAATGGGGCCCAAACATCCGAGCTTCTGTTTGTTGAGTTGAAAGTTTCCATCGAGTGGTTCATATGTCATACAGTAGCCCTCGCCCACCGTGTGGGGTTATCAGCTGCTCCCTGGCCTGCTTCTCCGCCCCTGCTGCACTGAGCAGCCCAAGGTCCTGGGCACAGCATTTCCTGACCATTTCCAAATGTGACAGCTCCTTGCAAGACAAGCCCTTGGCTAGCTGTCTTCAGTCAGCTTCCAGAGCATGTAGAGGTAGCAGAGGTGATCCGGGCCTGGCTGGCGCAGGTGGGGTGCGGAGCCCTGCCACACAGACTTGAGGACATCCCTGGGGGGCCGGGGCAGACATCAGGGCCAGAAAGCAAAACAGGTCACGTTAGGCCGCCACGGCAGCCAGACTTGTCAGGCTGGCTTTGTAGACTGAGTCCTCATGCTGAATGAGAAAAGGGCCCTCCTGGGTCTCAGTCCTGTCTGGAAGCCCTGTGCTCATTTGTTCAGGAGCTTTCAAGAGTCAATCCAAAGCATGTCCTCCATTCCCTCCCATGGAGCTCTCTTGAGCTGTACAACTGTGATCTTTATGTTTCTAGTAGTAGCTTTACTTTCATCTTGACTCAGGTCACAGCAAAACCTAATCATGTGAACTATAGTGTCCAGAGATAGAGCAGGGAACCATACCAGCCACTGAAGTAAGAACCAAGAGACACAAGCCTGTATTTCCCTCCAAACTCAGTGGGGAAGGTGTGTCTGCCACCAGGGCTTGCTTTCCAGACGCCAAGGGCAGCAGCAGCTGATGTGGGAGCATCTCTACACCACGCAGCTGGACCACCCAGGTGCCTGAGAATTCCACTCCAAAGGGAAGTGACATTAGCTGGGAATAGCAGTCCAGGTGTCACTGCCGCATGGCAGTAGTGAACTGGCTGGCGGGGTCAGCAGTCTGGCACTGCGGGGCTGTGAGGCACACTATAGGAGGAGTACAACCACCAACTACCAGAACCAGGAAGAAGCATACCCGCCCTCCCCCCACCCCATAGCTTGCAGGCTCTCCAGTCCAGACTTGCTTGAGAGAGAATGGAAATAGTTCATCCTTCCAAAGTTCCTTCAGCGAGAAATAGGATGCATAGTAAGGGAGGAACAAGGAGAATGCAATTTCAGCTATATAAAATGTTTTGATACTCTAACATGTTTCAATAATCTGAATATATATGATAATGTTTATCTCCTGAGGGGCCTGAGGGAAAATTCAGATAGCAATGTGTGTATCTGTGGTTGGCTTTTGAACCTAGATGGCAATGGGGAGAGAGGTCTACCAGGAGAGCTTGTTAAATGCCCATCTCCAAGATTCAGCCCTTGTACCCGGGCTTGAACTCAGGGCCGGGTGCTGTCCTTGAGCGATTGTGCTCGAGGCTAACTCTCCCAGGTGAGCCACGACTCCACTTTCAGCTTTGTAGTGGTTAATTGGAGATAAGCGTCTCACTGACTTTCCTGCGTGGGTTGGCGATCCTCAGGTCATGTGATCCTCAGATCTCAGCCTCGTGAGGATCGAGGGTTAGTGGTGTGATGTTCTTCCTCTCACTTGTCTCTGGTTGGCCCTGTCCACGGCCACACTCCTCCCTGCCAGTCAACAGTCCACAGCTGTGGGCACAGCTGGCCCCACCTCCCGCAGCTTTCATCCCCCCCTGGGCTGCTGATCTCTTTCTGTCCTCCGTCTTCTCACTGCTTACTGTACTCGCCCCGTGTTCTGCACTCCACTTAGAGCCATCAGCTGTCCTCCTCAGTACTTCCTCATCGTGAGCCCCAGTGACATAGCTTTGGGTGGACTGGCCTCGGGTCTGCAGCCCCACACTTGCTCCGCTCAGGGTTTCTTCTCATCACTCAGCAGGGCCTTGGCAAAGCGTCTCCTGCTGGCCAGGACTGACACAGTCTTCATCCTGCCCCTGCTCACCCTGCGCAGGCAGCTCTCCCTGCGCGCGGCCCGCATGCTCCTTTCCCAAGCCAGAAGCTTGTCAAGGCAGAAGCAGTCCTGTTTCCTGCGTCTGTGCAGTTTCAGGACAGAGCCTGCATCAAAGGATGAACTCAGGACATAGTTACAAAACAAGGAAGTGAATGGGTCAGTTGATGGGATCAAAAGTCATTCCTCACTCTCTGTTGATAGAAGGGAAGGCGTGTCTATATACATGTATGTGCACACCACACTCACACACACTTTCATCATGTGTTAAGAGAGACCTTGGTAAAGATCAGAGACACCTGGTCATGTACATGAAGAAGTTGTGTCAGAGGCAGGAGCCCAAATCAAACGCAGTCCTGTAAGTCAACAAAACATTCCAAAAAGAAAATCAAGAGTGTCGAAGACTCAGACAGAGATGGTGAAGGAGAAATGGGTGCCTGTGAGCTTCTCTTGGCAGTTCAGACTTGGGCAGAGTGATTATTGTACAGTGCTTGGGCCTGAGGGAAAACTCAGATAGCCATGTGTGTATCTATGGTCGCCTTTAGAACCGCTGGCCATGGGGAGGAGGGGAGTGAGTCTTGATGGGCGTGCCCAGCAGGAGACCTAGTTACAGCAGCACAAGCCTGTGTGCATCACCAGCCTGGTGTGAGGACAGCCCTGAAGCTGCCTTTGCCCATCCATCTCCCCCCAAGCTACAGTGGGCTGTCTTGTGCCTGGCGCCTGAGGCTCTGAAATGGGTCAGGTGCCTCCCAAGTGGGACTGCCAGGTCTGCCCTCTGCCCTCAGCCTCAGCCGCACCCTAGAGCTCCTAGCCAGGCATGACTCTGTGAGAGTTCCCCCTGGCCCTCAGGGCCTAGTGTGAGAGGCAGGAAAAGGCATTTCCACAGCAGATCCCTTCATGCTCAGTAGGCTTAAGTCCCTCTGGTGTTGAAGCTAGGAGCCTAGATTTTCTAGAACTCTGCCAATTATTCTCCTTACACTCAGTATTAAAATCACCAGTGGTGAGTTGTTACACGGAGCTGAAGTATTTCTTAAAGCCTTTTGTATCTTCGGCAGCAAATTGGGTGTGTGAGACAGAGATCAAGATAAGCAGAGATGATTGAGCCTTCCCCCTCCCTCCCTGGACCTCACCTCAGATTAACCTGGTGCCTAGGTAGGGTGTGGGCAGGTGAAGTCTGCTGGTGATCAGCACAACTACTGAAAGAGTAGGTTCAGGTAAGATGGGCTCCACCCACTTTGACTGAGAACTCATTGTGTATTTGATGTTAATTATGTGAAACAGGAAACAGTGCATAAGGTCTTTGCTATGCCTTATCCTCTTTAAAGGATTATCCTCTTTAAAGGATTTTTTTCTTAAGAATTCTCTTTGTTTGAACCTTAAAAATATTTTAGACAAAATTGTGTTCCTTTTTCATAGTTTGCTTTTCCATTGGGTATGTTAGTAAACTGGATGAAAGCAAAACAGTTGTCTTTTTAAAACAAATTAGCTGCTGCCCACAGGGCTTCATCTTCCTGTCTGAGCAGTGTCTAAATCCCTTTCTCTCCTAACACACACTGAGAGATTCTGGGACGGGAAGGCCCTGGCCAGGTCCTGCATCCCCCCCCCCCCCTTGGCCTCTGTGACTGGTGGCTAGGTCTCTGCACAGGCTGAGGGTGAGGTCTGGGTGCTCTTCCTCCAGGAGGGCGGGGTGAGCCTTTCCCAGGGCAGAGCCTTGTCCTGCGGAGAGCAGCCTGTGCACTTGGGTTCCCTCCTCTTGTCAACACCAGGACTGCCAACACTGCTGGTCCCACTGAGACCTCCAGGAGGGCACGGAGGGGCCCATGCTCCCAGCACAAGCCATGAGGCAGGAGCGTGCTGGGCGAGCCCCGTTCCGGCGGAGCACCTGCCTTTCTGCAGAGGGCTCCACACCGCCTCCCTACTCAGTTATCACCCGCCACCCAGAGGGAAAGGTGGCAGGTGACCTCTCACCCGCTCTGGAAGGAGCGGATGTGCCTTTCAGGAATACGGGGCCCTTCCAGCTGCAGTGGTTCTTAGGTCCCCCGGAACCACGGATGGCTTTTAAAGGAAGTGTCCTGTACGTCGGATCTTTCAGCTGAAAGTGGACAAAGTAGCGGGCAGTTCCAGGGGCGGCCCTCGGAAGTCTGGGCACAGTGGCAAAGCCAGCACCACGGCCAGCAGAGCGGTGAGCAGCACTCCCACCAGCAGCCCGGTCAGACTGAAGTGTTCCAGGTAAATCCAGTGGGCACCGCCTTGCCTGCTCATAGGCACCGGCGCCTCCTCTCTGCCTCCGTCCCCCTCCTCCTTGCCAACTCGGTAGCTGGCCAGAGTTCCCTGCCCAGGCCAGAGGAGCCCCAGTAGTAAACCCATCCTGCCCGGCCAGAGAAGCAGGTGCACTTGGGGGGCAGGGCCTGCAGCCTTTGAGCTGATGCACACAAAAGGAGCCCGCAGCTGAAACCCTCCACCCCAACTCCAGAGCTGCCCAGGGGAGCCCTGCAGAGCTGAAGGCCAAGGTCACCCTGATGCAGGGGCTCCGTGCTGGGAACACCTGCAAGGCTTGCTCTGGAGCAGTGCCCCTCCCTCCTTCCCAAGAGTGGCAGGTGTCTTGGCCTCCATGGTCACTGGCTGCCTGGCCCGGCTCCTCGCCAGGGCCCCAGGACAGGTAAACCCATCCCTAGCTCCCTCCCCCAGTGCCAGCCTGGCCCCGGAGAGGCCCTGGGTTCCTCCCTTATGAGTCTGGGGACACCACCCAGCAGCTGAGGGTCACTGGATAGCTCACACTGCCCACAGAGCAGGGCACTGCCCCCTGAGTTCCTGGCTACATTTACAATAGAGTCCTCTCCGCTGGATGATTGGAGCCTTGAGCCTGAGGCCCCCTTAGCACAGTGCTTGACTCTCCTACCAGGTCCTGTGACAGGCCTCTGCTGTCAGGCCCAGGGCACTGCCTACCCTTCAGAGCAAGGCTGGGGCAGGAGCCTCACCAGTGGGGCTGCTGAGACTCCTGCTCAGGGTGCCTGCTGCTCTGACCCCACCCTCCTCCTGGTTCCAACACATCTTCAGAGACTGAGGCCTAGAGCCCAGAGATTAGTCCCTCAGGCTTCCTCACAGCCTCCCCCGCAGTGTGCCCAAGTCCCCTGCTCAGACCTCTCTCCTCCACACAGCGGCTGCCTCTCCTTCACCTCGTTTAGGCCTTAGGTCTCACCGATCGTAAGCCTCACAGAAGCTCTGTAAAGCAGAATTTCCAAATGGGACTCTTCAAAAGCTTGGTGCTAAGAATTCTTGGTCAAATAAGGTTATGAAACACTGGCTAAAACAAGTTATTCAGATTATTTCTTGCAAAGACTTATCAGACTATTACACCAATGAGACTGTGGATTTTTAGGAGGTGGTATGCTTTGTTTCACAAATTTATTTGTCCACAGAATTCTTTCCTCACTGACTGTCATATGAGCTAGGAGTTTGAGAAAACACACAATGGGACATTATGATCAGAAGCTGAAATACTGCTGCTGCTGCCTGGATAAGTGGTCTGCACCCAGACAGCGGAGGGGCTTGTCAGTCGCAGTCTAACCGTTAGTCTGGTTGATCCTGTCCTGATGTGCACACGGGTCCCAGGCACGTGGGCTCCTCCTGCCTGCGGTGTGGTTCAGGTCTGCTGCATTTTGATCATGTGCCTCCCGTGCTGGTGTCAGCTGGGCCTTTTGTCTTCCCTGTGTCCCGGCTCTGCTTCCGACCTTGCGTGTAGTTTTCAGGGCCTTGGACACGGGGCCCGCAGAGCAGCCCTCAGCTAGGGAGCATTCCCGCGCTGCTGTTAGTGAGGTGGCCACGAGGGTGAGTGGCAGGCTGGGCTCCTGGGATATGCACACAGCACAGGGCAGAAGCTGACCCCTGTGGCGTTTTCTCTTCTGCAGGACATGCTGCCCATGCCCGGAGATCCGACCCAGGGGACTGGCAACTATAACATCGAGGACTTTGCTGACCTTGGCATGTTTCCACCATTTTCTGAGTAGCTGTGGGCAGAGTGAGCTCCTGCCACCATTCCGTGACATCGCCACCCACGTGAACGAGGTCTCCCTCACCCAGCTTGCCTAGCGCAGGACCCCCACACCACAAGCACCTTTGCCCTCGCGACCCCCAGGCACTGCCCTCCTCAGTTCTAACGTCAGCCAAGGCTTCTTGGCCACCACCCGGGGCCCTGCTAGACACCGGAGGGCCGGTTGTATTTATTGTGTTCTGTCTGGGTGTGCTTAGGAGGTGAGCCTGTTGAGTCCTGGCATTTGGTTGTGAATAATCTCTTAGCGGACCATTTACACCCCTACAAAGTTCGGTCAGGATCCAGATTGGTATGGCAGGCTTGGCTAAGACCAGAAATCAAGCTTCCTCCTGCTTCTCACGTCTGCTGGATGGTGTCCCACCAAGGCGGGAAAACCAGCAAGTGGGATACAGAGCCTGAGGCAAGGTGCACGGGACTCAGTGCCTGCCCCCGCCACCATGCCCTGCTGGCCTGCCGGGGCCCAGCGTGCCCTGGGGTCCAGGGTCCTTGTGCAGTGAGGCCTGAACTTCCATCCTCAGGGCTGTGCTGTGCTGTGTCTGTCGTGTGTGTGTGTGTGTGTGTGTGTGTGTGTGTGTGTGTACAGGAAAGTGCAGCCCCTCAACCCACACAAACAAGGCCGGAGAGCCGGGCTGAGTTGGGGCTGGTGACCTGTCCTTTACAAGTGAGTTCATAGGCCCACGTCCCTACTAAAGATTCAGATACTCTTCTTCAAAGAGCCAGTCCTTCCTCCACCCTGAACCCCGTGGAAACACCGGGCCTATGCGCATCTATGTCCTGATTCCATGTAGGTGACTCCCACGGTCCCTTGTCCCTTCCCAGCACACATGGAGGTCACGTAGCTGGGGCCCTCTACAGGTTTGGATGGTGGGAGCAGCACCCTTGCACGGAGGAAGATGCTCTCAGTCACTTTCCTTTGGGCCTCTTGTCTTCCCCTGGCTGGGCAGGGTGGCTCCTCAGAGGGTACACAGTGCAAAGGAGGGACAGACCACTCTGCTCCTGCTACACATGCTCCAAGGCCTTGGATCCCAGCTAGTCTACAGGCATGACAATAAGCCAGCCTTGGGCTCCCAGCCAACCCAGAGGCTTCTGCCTGGACCACGGTGAGTCCAGGATGCTTGGCTTGCTGTTCTGTCCAGATGCGAGACGAGTTTAAGGCCCACACTCCTGTTTTCATGTCTCTGGACCCTTCCCACACCCTGTACTCCAGTCAGGGCTAAGTTTCCCTCTTCTTCTTATATATACCATCATCTCCAGTTCCTCAACACTACGCATTGCCACCAATGCATAGTGATGCATCTCTCCCACATGGGTGGGAGAGAAGCCACCTGGCTGCCGGAGGCAGACGAGAGCTCACCCTCTGAATGCCCAGGGCATTCCCACAGCCACGAAGACCTTGCATGGTGGTTGCTGTGCTCAGAGGCCTCCCTGGCCAGGCACCTGAGAGGGTAGGGAGAGTGGGAGGGATGGCGAGACCCTGCCTTCATGTTTGGAAAGCCCTGGCTGGCATCCGGGGGCAGCCACAGGCCACGCTCCTGCAGAGCCTCACCTGTGCAAGCCCAGCATTGCTTGGTAGAAGGTCCTTGGCTGGCAGCCATCCTCACTTGGTCCCAACTCCAACACTAACAACTCTGGCTATGTAGTTTCTAGAGAGGCTTTGATGCCTATGGTAGACAGTTCTGACCCAGCGCTGCGTTTAACCCTAAGTGTGCTCACCCAGTCTCCGATTTCCCACTGCAATAGTGCCAAACCCTGGAGGACCGAGCAGGGCCGGCCCTGGGCAGGCCTCTGCTCTGCCCCGAGCGCCGCCTCTGACTTGGCAACCTTGACCTTGCCCTCCACAGTGAGCGTAAGTGTTGCTTTTTAAAGGCCCAAAAATGACTTCGGGAACAACGATCTTTCTTAGTGAAATAAAAATAAGCTTTTGGTGGCCTTTAGCTTATGAATTTGGAGTTTGGGGTTTGCCTTCTTTATGAAGAAAATTGTGTCTTTTTTGCAAAGCCACTGGAGGTGAGCACTTGGCCGTGGGGTTGCCTCGTGTCTAGGCTACGCCAAGCTCCAAGGGCCAGCAGAAGACACAGGACAGGGTCCTTGTTCGAAGCCAGAGGAGGAAGCTCTAGTAGTGTCTAATGACCCTTGTTTGCAAAGGAGCCTGCACTCAGGCTGCTGGTCCTGAGTACCTAGCGAGGCGGTCTCAGCCTGGAAATGTCCTACCTGCATGGGACAGGAGAGAGGCGCTTAGCCTTTGTTTCTTCTGAGGGGTGGAACTTGCAGGCACCCTCACCCCACCGTCAGATGATGTTCTTCAGAAGAGAGCCCGAGGGGCGTGTGAGCCACTGGTAACAGCAGCAAACCACACCAACGCTCCACCACCACAGGCTAGGGGAGGTGACAGTAGCCAAGGATGGTTCCAGAATACTCTGCCTGTGTATCATTCCTCCCTCATTTTGTTTCTATTTTGGTTTCAGGGATTGAGAGCACCAACATCAATAACTGTATGGCTGTTCTCACTTCTTCTGTTCAACCCTTTTATTATTTTATGAGTAGTGAGTATTACAGGCAATGAGGGCTCTGACCACTAACTTATACTGAGGAACCAAAATCTGGGGTTCTGCAGGTCATCCACAGGTATCGGTGTCCTTCATCTTCAGCCCAGAGATGAGGCAGCCTCCAAAAGCAAGTACTGGTCAACTCTTCCTGAGCAGTACTTGGTCCAATGACCTGTGCTCAAGGAGGGGGCATGCACCTGCCTGGGTCCACCTGCCCCTAACATTTAAAACCTGTCACATAAAGAACCAGGCAGATACCTAGAAGCACCCATCAGAAGTCAGGCTCTTTGTATTGCCAGGAAGAGGTTCGATCATAGTGTGTGTGCTACTTTGTCAGGGGTCCTTTCTTTGTGCATCACATCCAATGCACAAAACAGGTGTTACACACACCTGTGGCTTCAGCTTCTCAGACAGCTGAGGCAGGAAAGACTGAGCTACATGGCTATCTGCCCTTTCTGCTGGGAGCAGCTCTGGCTCCTTGCACACACAGGAGTGCGTAGGGCTTGTGGAAGACCTCGGCTGGTGGTCAAGCAGCTGGCCAAAGCCTGTAGGGCTTTGACTTTAGCAAGTGGAAGTTTTGCAGGCTTCATGGAGGTGGGCAGCTGGCTTCCTTCAGCAACATGCTTGCTTCAAGGGAAAAAAGACTTCACAAGCAGACTTCAGTGAGCATAAGCACTTAATCATCGCTTTTAGCCTTTCTTCTTATGGATGTGACCAGTGTTGTGGGTAATCATTTGTATTTCTTGAATGTTCTTTATGACTAACAGTTATTAAGTGGATTGTGTATATGTGTAACTAATGTCATTGCCTTTTAAATTTCATTACAATAAAGCTGACTTTCCTCTGAACACAAATGACCTATACCAACTCATAACAGACTTACTTGTCAAGCCTGAAGTTGGGAATCTTTCCGTTGGACTTTGTTTTCAGTTGCCCATCAGAGCCCGTTAGCCAACAGGGTACACGTAAGCATGCTAAAAGACCCCCTTTGCCAGAAGTTAGCTATGTAAATAGGAACAGAACCCAATAGTTCTTGAGCTTCTGTGAAACAGAGTGGTCAGATTATCCAGATCAAACAAAAGTCAATGAGGAAACCTAAGAATTAAATGACACTATAGATCAAGTTAACTTAGCAGACATCTGCAGCATAATTCACCCAGTGGTCACAGCATGCAAATTCTTCCCAGGAGCCACAGAGCCTCCTCCAAAATAGATTGTAGCATAGGACACAAAGCAATGCTTGACAAATACAAGAAAATAAAAAGAACTTCCTGTATGTTATCAGTCTGCTATGGAATAAAACTTGAAATCACTAACAAGAGAAGCAACAGAAAATTATCCAAACACAGAAATTGAACAGTTCATCCTGAATGATTAGTGGGTTATTGAAGAAATACACGCCCCCAAAATTTTCCTACAATCAAATAAAAATGAAAACAACCTATCAGAACCTTTGGAACACAACAAGCAGTGCTAAGTGTATGAGTGCTTTGTCTAAAAACTAGTGCAATTTCTTGCAGGAGGCATGGCTCAGCAGTATAACTGCATGTGAGGCCCTAGGTTCAAACCCACATCCAAACAAAATTTACAGAGATCTCAATTGAATAACCTGAGGATCTATCTCAAGCTTTAGGAAAACAAGAATAGGCCAAGCCCAAGAACAGTGTGAAAAAAAAATAAAGACCAGACCAGAAAAAGCATACAAAGAATTGATTAAACAAAAGCTGGTCCTTAACCATGCTTCACTGAGTGATGACTAAAATCCTAGCTGCTCAGGAGACTAGAACTGGAAGACCATGGTTGAAGGCCAGCACAGGCAGAAAAGTTCATAGACTCCATCTATAAGGTAATCCGCAGAAAGCAGGGCTGGGAGCGTGGCTCTGCAGAGCACCAGCCCAGAACGTGAACATCAAGTTCAAACCCTAACCCTACCCTTGGAAAAGGTAAACAAGATTGACAAACCAACTAAATCTTCCAAACTAACCACAAGTAAGATGTAGAATGGCCAAATTAACAAAATTAGAGATGAAAAGGACACATCACAGCAAAATGATGCTCAGAGGATCGTTAGTGTATACTTCAAACTTATTCTAATGAATTGGCTCCTTTTTCTTGCCTTTGTCTCTGGCACCTGACCCCTACTTGGTGCGAATTTACATTGCATTGCAACCATTGAGAATTCTGCACTGCAGGCCCCTGGAAGGGTGGATCCACTTTATCTTTGTGCACCTGATGCTTTCCTCCCAAGATGAAGCTTCTTGTCCTAACTCATGTAGAGATAGTCTCCTGCCCTGAATCTTGAAAGCAGCTGAGAGATCTGTATTTTAAAATTCTGCCATCAATACCAGAACTTCAGAAACTACCAGAAAAGGGAAAATGGGAGGAAAGCTGGTGTTCATTACTCACCATCAACACTTGTTTTTCAGTTAAATGGGTTTCTTTATTAATGGTTTTATAAAACATTAGGGGGAAACACTTTAAAAACAAGACAAATTAATGTGTTGTTCTGTGTTTTCCAAATCGCTGTCAGCTATCATCTGTAACATATTGCTGTTTTTGCTATTCTGGCATCTGGAAAATGCCTCCTCTTTGCCCAACCCTCCTGAGTTGTGAGGATAAACTCAGTCCATTGCTGTGGCTGTGTGCATACCGGTGCCCCAGCCTTGAAGGCACATACCCAGGGCAGTCACCATCTGCTCTGAGATTGGGGAATACTCAAAGAACAAGGCTGTTTACATTTTATTTCCACCATTTCCTGACTTCAAGTGGTTTTGAAACAGAAAGGAAAAGAAAGGGTGAGAGGCTCCTACAAAATTTAGACTGAGTTCACTTGACAACAACCCGTGGTTTTTTGGATAAATGTTCCACCACAGTAATTAGCTCTTGGTAGCACTTGTAACTCCTGTATTCAATGCTTGTATCCTGCCCCTAGAGCCCTGCTCTCCTTCCTTCCTTCCTCCTTCCCTCCCTCCCTTCCTCCCTTTCTCTCTCTCTCTTTCTCTCTTGCTTCCTTTTTTTTTTTCTGGGATTTGAACTCAGAGCCTTGTGCTTGCTAGAATGGCACAATACCACGGAGCTACATCTCTAACCTGGTTTACACTAATTATTTTTAGGATAAAAATAACTGGGCCAAAGCTGCAACCCACCTGTTTTAGTCTCTTCAGCATTGCTGTGCATACAGGTGCAAGCCACCACACCCAGCTTCCCTTCGGTGGAGGGAAAGCCTCCGGACCATCTGTCTGGACTAGCCTGGCATTAGCCTTGTCTTAGAATTGTACTAATCCCAGCATGCACTGGGTCTGGAGCTGGGCTGTAAGTCTGTGAGACCTCCAACCTCGATGATTCTCCGGGAGACACCCTGTACTCAGGCTCTCTCCTCTGCTCACGCCTGCCAAGCTCAGCACCGACGGCCCTTCACCTCTGTTCACCTCTTAACTTTGTGGTTCATTCCTTCGAGGCCTGGACTGCACAAGAGGAACGTTTGGCAATCACCTTGAGCTTTGACTCACTCTTGCTGGAAAACTGATTTCCTAGGGGAAGGAACTGGGAGCTTTAGGGGCAACAGCAAGTTAACAGGAAATGGGGCAACTAGAAAGCTAGGGTGACGAAGGAAGAGTTGGCTGCTGGCTTAAGTCAGTATTTCCCATTTTACACACATTTCTCAGATCAGTACCTTTTTCTGATGCTATGATGAAAGAAACTTGGAGAAATTCTGTTTTTTAAATAATAAAAACTAGAGCTCGAAGTGGCGCTGTGGCTCAAGTGGTAGAGTGCTCGCCTTGAGTTGAAGAGCTGAGGGACAGCGCCCAGGCCCAGAGTTCAGGCCCCACGACCGACAAAAAAATAAAAACAAAACTAGAGCTCCTCTTAAATATTTTACGTTATCTACAGCAAGCTGTTTCTTAATCTGGGAGGAGGAATTTTGGGTTCTGATAAATATTGTTCTTTCAAAGCCTCTGTTTGTCTTAGGAAAGTCCCAGGGCTCTTGTTCCTGGCTGTATGTTGATTTATTCACCAACCTCCTCAGATGCACTCTGTTCTTCCCATTTCACATTCTGTCTGGGAAAAGGAATGCTGCGTGGAAGGAAGTCAGTGGTGTAGAGGGCACTCTCTGGTGGCAGTTCGCCTTTTTTGTCCATCTACTGATTCAAGTGCTAACTTCCTCCAGCAATGGGATCAAAACACACCCAAAACTAACTGACCGTCTGGGTATCTAGCCTGGTTTGTAGGCAGGTGCAGAAGGGTGAAAAAGGGAAAGGGCTAATTAATGCTCCAGCTTTCTGCTTTCTGAGTACCTGCCCTGTCTTTCTGAAACACATTCTGCTGTGAAGTGGAAATCAGAGTTTTGGTCACAGTTCACTTGATCTGAGGTGGTGCGGGAGTGTCAGGATACTCAGTCTCTGGGTTCCCGTAAGCAACTGGACCAAGCCACTCCTGCTGCGGAGGACAGACACACTTTGAGGGGTTGCAGGTTGGTAGCACCAGCCTCCATCAGCATCTCAGAGGAATTCAGAAAAGACAGCGCTTCTGTTCTGGCTCAGCATGTCTCTTGTAGAAATGCCATGGATGACTTTTTGAGAGCTGACTCTCCAGAAGCACAAGTTCAGAACCATGTGTCTCAATTCTCATCTCTGGAAGGGCTCCCTCTGGAGATTTTTTTTTTAGCAAAAACAAAAACAACTCAACAGTACCTGGACCTCTAGGCTGACCAGACTCAATGGCTCCCTGGAGGCCTGCTCATTAGATTCTCTCAAAGTTCTTCATGTAAAGCTGATGGAGTCAAGGTTGAGAATCAGAGTTTTTAAAAAACAGGCAGCTTTGAGAAGAAGCCTGAAGCAACACACACACACACACACACACACACACACACACACACCACTAGCTGGGAAGAGTTGCGGAATCTGTGATGTTTATGACATGATTGAATTCATCTCTTTCCTTAGAGACCTTTGGATAGATTGAATCATTTCCTTTGGAAGTTAAAGAAAATGCCTCAATTGTTTTTGGTCTTTGAAAATACTTTGCAAAATACTTTTTTTTTCTGCTTTAGAAGCCTAAACTCCCTCTGTTTTGTCTCTATAGACCTAAACAGATACCACACAATGCTGTTGGCTAGCTCAAGTTAAGGAAAATCTTCACATTGCTAGTGAAGACTCTCGCCCTCCACCTTACAGCCTAGAAACTGAGATTGGGGAAATATCCGAATGTTCATCTGGGAGCATGGGAACACCAACAGCTGGGCTGGAACAGGGTCACTCTTTGCCACCTCCTTTAGCTCTATTTTGCCGGATAACGTTTTGTGGACAGTACCTATTCCACCAGAACTTTCTCAAGTGTCACCAGATTGCAACTATATATACAGCCCTATCAAGTGTTGGCAAATTCTGGTTCAACCGGGTGTTGACTCAGAATCTTGACAAGTTACGTAAGCTTCCGGGCTTCAGTTTCTTTATCTGTAAAATGGGATTGTTTTAGGATTCATGGGGATTAAATGGCTTAATTCACAGAAGGCATTTTAAACAGCACCTGGATTTCCTGGTTAATGACAGCCATTTTTATGGCTGTGGTAGCCAAAGTGGTAGCCTGTTCCTTTCTTATGGCTTTTTTTGCCTTGACCTTCCTCCTCATAGTGTTCCATTTCACATGCTGGGTCCTAGTCCTCTACACCCTGTGCCAGGGGAAACTAGACTTCAAATCTGCTGTTCAGTCTGTGTAAAGTTGGAGACAGGCATGGAAGGGTCTCAGAAGAGAGGTTCCTGAGCTCTCTTGTCTAGAGCATTCATTATTCATTCAGCCAGTCATCAGACCTTGGCAACAAGCCACGCAGATGGGCATCTTCCTTTTCCAGTCATTGATG